GTTCCACCTAAACCTGAGAAAAAACTTCTTCACTGTGAGGGTGACAGAGCATTGGAACAGGTTGCCCAGAGAGGTAGTGGAGTTTCCTTCCCTGGAGATATTCAAAACCTGTCTGGGCAATATGCTCTAGAGGGCCCTGCTTGAGCAGGGAGGTTGGGACTAGATGATCTCCAGAGGTCCCTTCCAACTTAAACCATTCTGTGATGCTGTGAAAGGAGGAGGAAGATCTTGCTTGTAACTAGCTTGTTCTAATCAAAATCGAGTCAGCTTTGGCTCTTAGTTAGCAACTGTCTTTTGTCATTGTCAGGCAAAAGCACGGATCTAGAAACTAAAGTACTAAAAGCTAACAATATTTGAAATTTCCTTTTCAGGTTTGATAATGCTGTGCTTATAGTTGGTCTTGCCTGTGAACTATATAATTAACTTCCTGTGTGATCAGCTTTCTTTAATGTTCTTTAAAATCACTGTAAATTCACAGATATTGGAGTAGTAATCACAAAACTCATGGAGAAATGTTGTTCTTGAAAGTGCTTTAGGTGGTATTCTCTTTAAATGTGGCAATATGTCTTTGAAATGTTAGGAATCTGTTTTTCTCAGGTATTAAATGGAAAACTTGTCCTTCAAGAACGACTATTGATGAATAGTAGTGGTAAGGAAAAAAAAATAGGCCATAGTTGTTTAGCTCTTGAAGTAACAATTACTGCAGTTTTAAACTGGGCATGAAACTAAGTTTTAGGGCAATTTGAAAATAATTAATCTTAAATAAATACATAGATTTGCATAGATTATGTTGCAACTATGTAAATAGGTAGTTTTGGTGAATTAAAATGCAATATTACATGAATTACTGAATATTACTGAATGGACAGTTCAGGATTTCATTAACTTAAAAAGACTAAAGATCTTGTTTACCAAGAGAAATATCCTTTACTCTTTATCAGTTGCTGTAGGTTATTAGTTTGGTCCAAAATGATCAGCTTCTCATTAATCATAACTAGAGATAGATTTACTGAGCATTAGTACAGTTCTCAACTTGGCTAATAGCTGTGCAGTCCAATAGTTATTAATACAGATGAGGTAAGTTGGAGCCAGGACATTACAAAAAGGTAGAAGCTTCAAGAACATTCCTGGATCCTCCCCAAATTCCATTAATTTAACAATGATACGTTAGTCTTCAGTAGTTTGCTTGTTTTGTTTTGCTTCATTCTCCTCTTTTCTCCTCACACTAATAGTGATGGAGTTCGGCGCAGATAGGCAGCCTAGAGAAGAATATGTGTCGTGATCTCTAACCATGTTTAAATTTATTTAATGTGCATAGAGCTTGATAGTCAGAGGGGAAGGGTTTGATGTGTCTTATCAAACACAGGTAGTTTTAGATTTTTGTTTTATACATATTCTTAGCAGTAGGTTTATGTCCTCCTTTAATCTGGAGGCTTTGAGCCAGTATGGCCAACACGTTCAAGATTTCATGTGCATGGAGAAGTCCCATCCTTAATGTGGTGCAACAGTCTACTTTCAAGGATTGCTGTGCAGATGTCTACGTAAGAAATATTGTATGCAGAGGTGCCTCACTTGCTGCTTTTTACGAGTAGGGGGAGTGGTTTTTTCAGTCTGCTAAAGATGTAGAAGCTACGTGTGTCTCCAGCTTTACTTCAGAGAGAAGGAGGTGTAAAATGAAATGGCATAGAGGAGGCAAGTTTTTCCCCAGCTTTCAATTTTTCTTACCTTTCCTGAAGCCAGTAGCCTTTGGGAGTCTGTATTTTCCCACTCTCTACTTCACGTGGCAGATTAGCACTTGCATGTAACAAACTGTTCGATGGTAGGGACTTCTGCTGACATCTCCCTGGAGTTTCTGCACAGAGGCTGTAGGTCTGTCTGTGCTCGTGTGTATGCGTAGTGGAGTATTTCCATGGGCTTCCTGGACTTGCTTGATGTACCACCTTGTTTTTGAGGTTTGTGTAAGCAGCGTGAAGTCTCAGATTTCCTTGGGATTAGAATCAGTTTCTAATTATTAACCTAATGTTTTGAAGCTTCCTGAAATGCCAGAATCTTTCGATGGCCTGCTTGAACCTTGTGATTCAAGCTTTGGCTATTTTCTTTTCCAAAAGTGCCTTTTAAAAATTTGCAATAAAATAGTACATTTCACAAGATTAGAATATTCCTGATAGCTGAAAAGTAATTTGGGACCAACACTTTTTTAAATTAAAAATTTCTTTGTACACTCAGCAACTGGATAAATATGCATGTGCTTTCATATCTCTTTCCTATTTCCTCCACCAAAAAATACTAATCAAACTAATCCAAAAATCCCCAAGAACGATCAATTCCTTTCTTCCTCAGTTTTTTTTTTCTTTTTAAAAGCACAGACACACACCTGAAATGGAAGGCTTGTTTCTTTTTACCGGCTTCTTCCTAACCCTTCTTTTTACCCTTTTTATAGTGAGTACGCATGCTTAGCGCTGTATTTAAAATCACATCGCAAATCTAAATACCATTAGAAAACTTTAGAGATTATTTTGGAAAAAAAGGTGCAAGGAAGGCAGCAACTGCAGCATTCATATATTTTGAATAGCAGTTCCTTCTGATGCAAAATAGATGACGGCTACAAAAATGATGATTTCCTACCCAATCCTGGCTCCTCGTTATAAATCACCTGACCAAAATATCATTAAGAAATAGTTATGTGACATGTTCTCGTCAGTCACTCCTGTTATTTTACAGCAGCTTTCCAGCGAGCAGGTTTTGAAATAAGACCGGCTTTCCAGTGGAAGCTCCTTAGGGTAGGTGGTTTCAGCTTTGCCTCCCTTGATTTGAATCAGACAGGCCTGTTTGCAGTTGTAAATTCTTTTGGAGCGTGCCTTCACATGCAACTTTTTCATACCGTTTGAACAGTCTTAAAAGAAATATATACCTGTAGTTGACCTACTTAATCCATGCTGTTATTCAGCTTTGGTAGGGTGTATGCACATCTTGGTCTTGTTTCAATATATTTTTTTTCAAGTTTGGCAATAATTTCATTATTTGTTAAAAAACATCATGTGTTTGGTGAGGGAATTCTGTTTCTGTTGTTGCTTGGTATGGGCAGAAGGGTGGCGACAGAAATCAAACTACTGTTTTGCAAAGTCAAAGCTCGTTCACTGCTTTTTCAGAAATCCTATTGGATTAATTTGGATCTTTTTACTAGCATTTAGTAAAGGAAACTGAGTCATTCGGAAAGTGAGTGAAACATCTGTGATTTTTCTACTCAAAAATGCACCCGTTTCTTGCAAAAGGAAGTGTGGTGCTGCAACGTTTCTATGAATCTAATAAGAGACTTTCAAGATCCAATGGGTATCTTGTGCCTAACTGTTACCTTTTGTGTGATGCCAGTTTTCCTCACTCATCTAGTGATTTGGTTGTAGCACTTCTGACATGGATATTTTGCTTCACGTTTTTCTTGTAAATGTTGCTTTTGCAAAGAGTCCCTGTAATGTATTCTTGCCTCTGTTTTCAAAAGTGTTGCTTTGCCCCTTGGCTATCATAGGGAAACAGCTGTGATTTAAGACATCAACTTTGCTATTAACATCAAGTGGCTGCATAACAGCCATGAATCATTTTTTATGAATGTGCTCTGACTAAATCACAGCACTCATTAGGTGTAGATGGATGGATATCACAGGGTGATATAGGTAATACTGTCTTCTGAGATAATGAAAAAGTTTTCATCTTCACTTTTCTTTTTATGCTGGCCCTGGAAGTGGTTATTTCCTAATAAGAGTGCCTCAAAACACACAGCTGCAAATGGGTCTTAGATAGAAATGCCTAAAATGGTTTTGTCTATCATTTTAAACCCAGTCATACTCTCAAAAATGACTTATATGAATGAACGGTAATTATTCATAGTTCAGTATCAATATTCTATTGGACAAGAGCAAATGAAGTTTTCTCAGGGTGGAAGCTGTCTTCTGTCTGGAGACCGATGTTTGTTACTGATCTTCTCTTTACGAGGCATGGAGATTTACTGTAGTGAATTGTACAGGAATAAACAGAAAACAGGCAACTTTCCATTTTCTTAAATAGGTGATCAGCTGCTTTTTTTTTTTTTTTTTTTCTCCTGTTCAGACCATGGACAAAAGTGCTCCCTAGGCTGTGGGGGGCTGTTTTCACATGTTGACAGCTATCAAGACAGGCCAGTGAGAACTGCTCTTAAAATTTTGTTGTAAATAAAAAAAAAAAAAATCTAGTATAGTTTTTTGATACTGATTCTGCAGTATTGACGAAATAATTGTTGCATTAGCACAGATAATCTAAGTGCTTTGTAAAGGGTAATGAAAAGAAAAAAAAAGTTCTAAATAGAACTTTTATAGACCTAAATAGTCTATGCGTATCCAATGTTCAAATCCCAAATTTCCCCTTTTCCAAAACAGCCACTTAAATATCATGCCTTCTACATAATGTCTGCATGGGGGAGCATTTAATCTTTTCTGAGTTATTTCTCTCTCTTCCTTGGAACACATTTTATTCTTCTGCAGAAGAGCCCAAAGGTACAAGCAAATTGCTTCTTGGCCGAGCTATATCTGTTATTATCCCAACAATCCCCCCCCACCCCTCCAAATGAGCTAGATTATATCAGCTCTTTTAGGTGATTTTTTACTCTAATCAGATTTTTCATAGTTGCTCTCCAAATACTAATTTCAGTCTGATAACGTTTTCAATTTATTCTCTGCAGAGAATGCTTGTTTAAAAAATCAGTCTGAACATTAACTGCCTCAAGATACCACCTCATTAGAAGCACGTATTCAGATTGATTGGGCTGATACTGGTGGCAATGATGATGATAATTGCATTGAAGTAATGCCTTAGGATTCTAGCCATAAACAAGGTTCTTATTGTTGTAGGTAAAGAAATAAGATCAGTTCCAGGCCTGAGAACATGTAAATGAAGAAGTAAAATGAGAAACAATGATAGCTTGAATACAGGGTTGTTTGTTTGTTTGTTTGTTTTTAATAGCTATTTGGGACACAGAAGCACTGAATTCCATTATTAAACACCTTCAAAAGAAGCAAAATATCTGTCAAGGTGATGAAATGTTCAAAATGAATGACTTAAGTTGGGCACTTACATGAACCACCGTCATGCAACAGTATGGCAAGTTCTGCCCTCCAGTCTGCGGTAAGCATTTAATAAAGAAATGAAATAATGAATGATGCAGGTTTCAACTGTAGTGATGCACCCAGTGCTAGTAATAAGCAGGGAGCACATATGCCTGTTTGAAGGATGAATTGAAGTTTATACCAAGCTATTGCTTTTACAGTCAAGCAGATGTCAGTGGGCTTGCTTTACAGGGTATTATGATATATGAAACTGGAGGCTTTTGAGTGGTAAAAATTACTCCTGTCAGTTCATCTTTGTGTATGGCACTTTGATATATCATTCACAGCTTAATTATATTGTCATAGTTGAGAGATTAAAACAAAAGCCAGGCTGACTCTTGCTTAAACCTTTCTCTAAAATAATGCTGATAGGTGAAGGGGGAAGAAAACCATAAGAGCTATATAAAATTCCAATATAATGTATTGTGCCATCAATAATAGGTTCCTTCCATGATGCAGTTTCACGTACTGCAGATAAGGAGATATTCCTCAGGCCCTCACAACACAGGAGCACAAACCACTAATATCAAACATATCAGGGAAAAGATGGGGGGAGGGTTGTGTCCTTTATATAAGCTTTGAAGTGGTTGAGGTTTGGGTTGTGCCAAAACCTCCTGGAATTTGGGCCTTAGTGAGCACCAGCAACTGCAGGGAGAAACAAATATATCTGTGCAGCTTCACAGCCAGGCAGTAGAAAAGCGTATGGTAACCGCATGCGGGAAGTCTTTGCTGTCATCTCCCCAGCAGTGGAGACGACTGCCTGTCTCCCAGGAGGGCACTGCTGGGGGGGTGGGAGACGTGGCCCGCGCAGGTGCCGCGGGAGGGCCGGGGGGACTCCCATGCCCACACTGGCCTCAGAAAGAGTTTTGGGGTATTGACTTGGTCTCAAATTGTTACCGAGGAGATGCATGTTTGTCTATTAAATGGAGAGTTAAAAATGACTAAACAAACTGTCTAATCAAAATAAATTGCAGTATGCCATTTAGGCATGCCGGTTTGAGGGCTTATTAATTAACTCCATTGACTAAAGCAAAATCAATCCAAACCAGAGGAGAATTTACTGCCTTCTCAGGATCTCTGCCAGTCTTTGTGCTTGGGCATTTTATCTGCACGAATAAGCTGCTTCTCGTATGAAGCTCATTGTTGAAGTGAACTGCATACCAAACTCGAGACCTAATAGACATCTACATGGCATTCGGAAAATGCATTTACTTAATTTCACAGTGCTGACATTTTTCATTTTGTATTTGGCATATTACTCCTGTAACTTGTGTTTCTGGGTGATACTACAATGCATATACAAATTAAATAATAGTATGCGCAGGTGCTGTGGAAAAGACAATTGAAATATCAGACAAATAGAATAAATTTAAGGTAAAGCTGTTCATACAGGCCACTGTCACTACCTGTAGCATGTTTTATGTACGTTGATTCAAATGACGGGCTAAGGCATGCGTGTTTCCTTTATTTAGCAACTTTTTGCTACAGCTGTGACTTTGTGCATTGGATACTTTTCAAAATGACAACATTGAAGTTGGAGAAGAGTCATTTGTTTGAACTTTGGGATGATAGGGTAAGATGTGGAATGGGCAAAGGTTCAGGTAATGAAGCTAATGTTGCATGCTTGGCCCTCTTTTGTCTGAAATAAGGTGTGAGATGTTCCTCTGTCAGCTGTCCCAGCTGCAGCCAGCTGATGTACTCCAAAAGTTAGACGTTTAGACACCTGAAGAAATGGGCAAACCTACTAGATGTTGAGATGATATCTTGTTAAAATAATATGCTTGGAAGTGGCCACTGGAGAACTTTTTTCATAGATAGTGGCCACTTTCAAACGCCATGGAGTTGTTTCTGTGGAAGCAAATGCAGATGTGGCACATGCTGACTGTATGCTTTACAATATATGCAAGTAAGTAGTTTTCTGAAATATCAGTAAAAAAGTTTGGGCAAAGAATGTTCCTTATCTTACCTATAAAATATTAGATTGTCTGGCATTAACTTCTGATCTGACTGAGTCTTCCAACTGGACCAATTTAGTGTCTCTGCTCTGCTTTTCTGGATTTCAGTTTAATGGCGTTGATATTGCTTCTTTCACGAATTAAAATATCGATTAAAAAAAAACAAACAAACTACATTCTTCCATGGATAACTGAACGCAGTGAAAGGGTTTGGAATTTAACTTTTTCAAATACTTGCTTTTTAAAAACAAACTCTTTCCATATGTGTAGAGTAATTCATACAATAGGCAAAAACCTTTTAACCCGTTCTGTAGTTTCGGAAAAGCAATTCATTTGGTATGCTATCATTTAAGGGCACTGCAGAGAACTGGTAGATTGCTACAAATTATGGTGTGTGCAGCACACATACAGGTGAGAATATTTTAGGAAACCTGTTTGCTGTGTGAGAGAAACGTAATATTAAAACCATTTACCAAAATGAAATCAGGAGAAGATGCTTTCATCTGAGACCTCTATATCTGGTTTGGAATCTGTTTAAAATTTCAGCCATCTAGGAAAAACACATTGTTGCCCCTTGCTGAAACCACAGTTTGAATGGAGGTAGGCATGTGAATTAGTGCTCATTATATAAGTCAAAGTCCTGATCCTGGGTACAAATCTGTTCTTCTTTATATAGAAGTAATTTGTTGCCCTCAAACGATCTTATAAATTCCATGTCAACATATTTGATCATTGTGATTTGGGTACATTAGAATAGGTTTTTGATTTTTTTTCAATTAAAGTTAGAGACTTGCAGAGAATAGCTGTTTGTTTGTTTGTTTGTTTGTTTGTTTTGGTAGAGCTTTTCACATCTGCTCTTATTTTACTGTTTTAAGTGCATTTGTGTGCTCAGGATAAGATTCCTTTCTCTTTTCTGTAAGTAGTACACTACTGAGTAATATTGTTAATGTGCAATTGGCCTGTGATACTAATACCTGTTGGTTGAGTTTTTGTCCATCTGACTGAGATATAATAAAATCAGTAAATATATTTTTTTGCCGTGTGTGTAATTTGCTTTAAAAAAAGGAAGAGGTGGAGTCCACTGATTATGTACTAATGGTTGGCACAGTAATATTTCTGTTCCTTTAGGAAAGCATTCACTGGGCAGAAGACCAGAAGCAACAGCTTACCTACTATTAATCTCTCTGTGGAATATGTAATCTTCTGTTTTTGGAGGGATTTGCTAATAGAGTGGTTTGCCTGAAAAGCCAGTCTTTTCTGAAGAAAAAATGAACAGATTTGTTCATCTATAGCAGGTCACTGAAATTTTTCCCTTTCTCTCTCTGTATGTATTTATTATATTTTGTATGTAGTAAGTCCTATTTTCAGAATGTGCCCTTCCATCATAAACTTAATTTTTCTGCAACTTCTTTTTGTTTTAGAATTTTTATTCCGGATACCTCCTGCTAAGCATGTAATTAAGGTGACAGGTAATATAAAGCACTAATTAATCATGAATTCTATATAGATGCTACACTAACTGAAGCACTGTACATACAGAATACATATATACAGAAAGCACATTTTTACATAATGCAGTCATGTTAATAGTGGTCAAAAGAAACCAATACTGTGTTCCTAGGGGTATGGCTATCAGTTTATAATACTTGGTTACTTTATGATTTTTGGCAATAACATGCCACAAAATTAATGATGATAATAGGGACTGTTTTGCGGGGGAGGGGGGGGGGGGAATTGGACTGTAGACGGTTTAAAACTGATTTGACATGTATATTACTAGTCTGGTTTCACAACAGCAAAATGATTGTTTAGTTGACCTATACTGCTGCTACAGATGTTTGGCTCATGCTATAGAAACGTGCTGTGGTCTTGTTTGCATGTGATACCACCTATGGAAAAGTCTATGGATTTGTAGAGAAGAAAATGAAGAAGCGCTTCTGTGCTCTCTCTATTTCTTTTTTTCTCCTGTTGGGTTGGCCTGCTCTTTATGTTTTAGTCGTTCCCTTCACAAGGCTTGACAGTGTCTTGTCCTGAGAAGCAATGAGTCATAACTTGCCCATAAGACTCAATATCTATCCAGAAGGCTAAAATCTCTGCCTTCCGTAAGAAATTGGCGGGAAGAGACTTTGAAGAGATAGGGACTATCACATCTGAAACTTGAGGAAGAGGGAAAAAATGCTGTTCCAGGCTTCTAATTTCATATTGCTCAAAGCTTTGTAATGCTGCAGTTTTCTCCTTGCAGAAACTTGGGAGCTATGACTACATCTTGACTACATCTGGCCTGCCATAATAATAGGATTAATATATGTTGTCAGATGTTTCTAGCTCTTTTTTCCAGTGATCTATCTGGTCAACATGAAAAAAAGCAAATGTCTCTGTGTGTGTGTGTGTGTATGCTTTTTTTTTTTTTTTAAAGAGGCCAGCTAGTATATTAAGAATGTAGCTAATGATCTACACCCTGTAATTTGATCACTCCTAACTTAAATAACTCCATTTGGAGTTATTGCTCCAAATACATGCTATATGAGAAAGCCCTACAGACAGTTTTTCTGCAAGAAAGAGGGGTTCTTCAGGTTGTATTGATTTCAGTATTTGACCCTTTCTCTCCCTCTCTCGGTGTTCCCTGTTGAATGCTCTGCTCTCTTCGAGCGCAACTGATAGCACCCCGCTGGCCGACTTTGCCACTCGTACTTGGGCGCTCTTTTGGGAGGCAGGAGGCTGCCAGCGCACGTGTGTCTGAGCCCCAAGGTTGCTGGGGTGTTTTTCGTTCAGATGCTGCATTAGCTGCAAATGAAGGAAGTTTGAGAATACTCTGTCCCAAAAGGGATGGTCTAATCTACCCGATTGTTTCTCTCCTGCCACACTGACTTTTCCACACGTGGCTCGTTCCAAGTGTGAAAATCATCTGAAAACGTCTTCATATATTGAGGTTAATAATTCAATATTTCTCTAAAGTGCTTCCATTCTGATACTATGTCCAGATAGAGTTTGTTTCTTTTTTTCATTTTATTGCTCTTAGTTTCACTGTTTAGCTGTGTTTTGTAAATAATCACATTTATTCATG